GAATCACAATGGCAAAATCAACAAAACTCCGAAAAGTGGAAATTACGCTGCGACCCGCACAACCACTGAGAGCATTCAACTATCCAAGTATTGCTAATGTTGCCGTAGTTCATCATATAAACACATTACTACGAGCATTTAGAACTATTCTGCAACCTATGTGTCTCTGTCTCAGCACTTTCCATACCCGCACGCTCTGTTATTCGCTATAGCGCTATAATTTAAACATTTATGCATATACATTGTTTAATAAGTGTGCGGTATACGTATAGTATTAAGATGATGCATAAATTTTTTGTATTTGTAAGTCCAAAATGGAGCTTTTATCTAACAGCGCGCAACAAAAAATCTGTGTTCCGCCAGTTATCAACTGATAAGAAAAAGTGTGACAAGAATAGTCCTGCGTGTGAAAATAAACTACCGGAAAGAAAATGACACCCCGTGTCAGTCTGGTCACTCCCGAAGAACCGCTGTGACAGTTATAGGTGTCACTCGTCGCGGAGTGCTAAATATGTGGCTTCCGGATCCAGTGCTGTAAGCGTATCGAAGTGCTTCTCAAGAGTTTTGAGTTTTTCAAAGCGCTTATTGTAACAGTGTTAAGGAATCAACTTATTTTAATATTTTCATAAATTCAGCACAAGTTTCTCTAAATTTAGGAGGTTTTTCACTGGGTACTTACAAAAACTACCAATCCTGCCTAGAAATCTGAAGAATAGAACTAAAACTTAAGGAAGTACTGTGTACATCGTGGAATTGGCACGTTTTTCCATCAGTTAATTAAAAGCTAATGTACGTGCTACCTCTAAAGCATTATTTGAGAAGATTTCGAATTCAGTAAGGGTTTGACATCTGAGCTGTTCGGTCACAATACCCGTGAAGAAATGTCACATCATTATTAGTTCTGCAACAAATTCGCTCAAACGATGGAAAAAGGATGCATTGGGCGAAGGAGAGGTTGTGAAGTTGCTAAATTAATTCCTCATGCAGAATTCATAGGTTGCTAAGTTAGATGTTTTGATTTTTTTTCGGAAGCGTTCTAGCTTGCAAGAAAGAATGGCTGACTATCAAAAATGTTAACGTCTCACGGGTGATTATGAAATGTCCAGCGGAGACAACACTCAAGAAAACTACTTGGATCACTTCAGACTTTTGTGGCAAATCATAGAGAAGGAACAAGAATAAAAAAGTAAGCTTTGGAAATATCCTTTTGGTTTCTATCGTCTAGTTGAACGCAACCGCATGCAACTCTGTTATTCATCCAGTCGGTGATTGAAGCCAGCAGAAGTGAAGTTTCTTTTGCTAGTCGCTGTCACGCACCAGCGCTTCCCAGTGAACTTCGTATTCTCGAGGGATACGAAAAGCAACGCACTTTTCGTGTGAAGTACTTTTCTAACGTTTTTGGCAAGAAGTTAGCAGCGGATAGCTCGCTGGGATCTGTCGCAGCAGAATTTGAGAGAGACTGACTCTCAAGACGGGAAAGGTGAACTTCTCGGCCATGAAGGGCTAACTGAGGAAACAAATTGCTCACTGTACATCTCAGTTGTGTAGGCACCGTCTTTCTGCCACCGTGAAACAATAACGCACTGATAGAGACCGAATGTTTACGACGTAAAAAAACGTGGAGATTATAGAGTAGTACTCATGCAGCACAGCATTGGGGACTGGTCGGATGCTCTTTCTATTTGTTTCTTTCTTCCTCGACTTTTTTCTTCCTTACAATATTCCACTCTTTGTTCTTCCAAATTCACACCTTCTCCTCAATCTTCTCTCGCTTTCTGTTAGTTTGTATTTTTGTGTACCTTTTGCTTTCTTGTTTCCTTAGTTGTTCTTTGTGATTCAATTCATGAGTCATCATAAGCTTCTCATTAATAACCTGGTTTCCTTTTTTGTAACCTACCAACAACTTAGCTTCATCGTTTGCTCTCGGACATTAAATACGCTTTTCGTTCAGTCAAAGCAGATTCAAAGAATCCATAAAAGGATAAAGGATAAAACTCTCGTCGTTGATCAATCCCTGAGGGATGCGCCATGCATTCGACTTCACTAAGTATCGTTGGAGGTGATTGAATGCATATGTGGCCTTTATAATAACTCGAGGTGGCATACCGATGTATCAAGCCAGTGCTGCTATACTCCCAGACAAATCTGGTACCAATTTGCCGACCTCGGAGTGATGGAAGGCTTGGTGAGCCATGGGCGCGGGGATCGATTCCACGTATGTGTCGCAGTGGCGCCTCCAACCACTGCACCACATGCGCCCCTCAAAGAATCCACATCTAAAGAAATATTGCGATAGTGAGTGTTTCATAGCGCTTTTAACTCATCCAACCGAATTTTTACAAATCTTTTACAGTCTTTTCATTACAAATCTAATGGGTGTTTAGTTAGTTGTTTACAAAGTGGTCTTTATTTACATACGTGAGTCATACTGTTAAAGCGCAGTCGAGATGTCTTTTTTTATTTCCATTAATTTTATTCTTTTAATCTTTTTTACATTACCCGACATCCCATTTTTCACAGTGTGCAGATCCCAACACCTCTTTTGCATTCGATTTATTTCCTGGCATCCACCATCTACGAAGGTCCTCAAAATTTTTGGGTTCGACCGCCGCATGAGGATTTATGGTCTGCTTTATTAATTTCTTTGAGTGGTGGTCAATTCGGTTCCCCTTGCAATCTTGAGATATTCGAGCTACGGAGTTTCCATGTGGATTAGAGGGAGAGTGCACTTGCCACAGAACTCTGGTACCAATTTCCCGACCACGGAGGAATGAGAGGCTTTTTGGGCCCAGAAGTGGGTGGATCCAGCAGTAGTTCGGCGGGTTGGATTGTCCGCGTAATGAACGAGCAGTGATCACTGCGCTGCCCGCTCCCTTTTTATCACTTACATTTGCGAAATCCTATGCGATATATAGCCTTTTTTCGTGCACTAAGGATAATCAGGGGTTACAAAGGTGTGAGCAATAGCCGAAGCTATGGGTTGTAGTCATTAACGAAATGCCACCATGCAATGATCGACGACGACAAAACTACTTTGTTCGAGGAAAAAGGAAGGCTCATTTTAACTGTGGTTAATTGCAGCTATTGAGTGCGAAAATTTCTTTGTTGTTTTAATGTGTGGCAGCTTCATTTCTCCACTCTTTATTTCCTTTTCGCTTTTTCTTCATCGTTGTTTTTCTTTGTACACATTCCCTTCCACTTCGTTTCTTCTTCTCAGATCTTCTTTATTCTTGAGAAATTTCGCGCCTTCCCTTGCGGTGGTTGTTCGTCTCACGCAGCCCTCGTACTCCCTCCGGAACGCGGCTTCTATTTGATGGATTGTCGACGGCACGTTCATAATATTCACCAATATGTTCCATATTGCTCCTCCCACATCTAATACTCAGCCAACCATCCGCATAATCGAATTATTAATCCTCTGATTATGAGTCGAGGACCTAATTCATTAACGATGTTAGGAATTAGTCCATGCATGGATTGTCATGTGTTCTCTACCATTGTTATCCCAAATCAATGCGAAAAAGGAAGTAAATAAATAATCATTTATTCTAGACGGCGATGAGATAAATAAAATGCTGAAGTAAATGGATGACATAGATACTCCAGTTTCAGGATTTTAGGTTGGTACCTCCAAACATTTCGAGCGCTTACGAATTATCATACCCATGCTAGATGTTTTTTTACATAGGCGAAGATTGATGAGTTAACTTGTCACTGCATTTGTAGCTATCACTGTATTTAATAGCTCGTTTTTCTGGCGTAGAATGATAATTTATGTAATGAACACAAGAACTATCTAGTTTCGAACATACGCAAACACTGCTGTAAACTGACTTTCATTTAGCCTCGGCCTAAATGATCGATGTACCCTCTTCCAGTGATAAGCTAACACGAGGTTGTTACCAAACACTTATTCGGCTAATGTTTCTACGTTTTCAGCCTGCTCAAAGCCGGTGATCTGAGTAGATGGTCCGCAATCGTTCGTCCTCTTGATGTTGTGTCTTTGTTGTCGCATCGAGTCGGATCTTCCTTAGCGGAGCATCCCTCGAATAAGGAAACCTCATCCGGCGGAGCTCTTCTGTACAGGACGGTTATTGTTGATGGGGATTCTCCGATGATAATAGACAGTGTATTTTCCGGACAATCCATCCTGGAGCAATCAGTATTAGCCAACGCATAGAAAATCAATACTATTGTAGGCTGACTTTCATTTAAGCTCGGTATGGGATGATCAACAAAAAGGTGCAAAAGTATTGAATCCGGTTGTGATCTGAGTCTACAGTCTACAGTCCGAATTCTTCTCAGTGGTTTTAATCGTTTTTCTCAACTTACTTAAAGAGGTTATCGCATTAGGGAGGTGGAAGTGCAGCGACTTAAAATTGAATCGTCGCGATTTCTGCTGGTGGATCCCACACGACATTGAAGCCGCCTCGTCTCCTCTCGGACATCCGAGCCAAGCGAACATTCGTGTGAAACACTTTATTTCAATTTCTTTTGTGTCAATTACACATTCCAGTGATTGTTTTCCAATCATCTCTTTAAGAAATTTTCTGGAACTTCCCAAGAATCGAAATGACTGGAGGATTTGTCTCACTTTCTTCGATTAAATTAGTGAAGAACAGATATCAACAGTTCATCTATTAATAACATCAAAATATCTCCTTAGCGTAACTATTAAATCTGTAGCGACCACAAATCGCTCAAGTGGGGGGGGAGGTGGGGGCAAATCCTTGATTATAATCCACTCCGGCTACAGAAAAACCACCTGGAGGATAAAAGAGTTCTTACTAGTGGAGTGAAATTCTTAAGTGAATGCCATTTCCTCTAACTGTACCAAAATTTACGTCAACATCCGTGCTCACGGCTGTACATGTTTAAGTGGTTGCTTTCACCTTGAACGTAATGAGGCCATTCTTATGAATGGACCTGGACGTTCTAATCGCGTTAGCTGGGTATAGATAATTCCCTCCTCATGCGGCTGGTGAATGGCCCTACGGGTCATGGGGGTCCAATTCACACACCCACATCCACAGACGGAGATCCCCACACTTGTGTGGACACAGCTTTGTATTGATCTCGGAACGCCCACAATCGATAGTTGGCAGTGTGCCTGTGGTGCGCGCTTATTCCGTATATGTCTGAATTCGTTTCAGGCGAAGCAGCGTAGCGCCGTTTGCACCTCCATGGCCGCTCAGTCAGGTACGAACGAGTTTCCATTTACTGCTTTGTTTCTTTCTGAGGTGAGAATTAGCGTTCTATGAATCCCTCGTTCACTAATCTTCCGGAAATCTCCGGATATCCCGCAGTTGCGGTGTAGGGTGGAGACGTTCGTCCACGGTTTGAGAAAAACCACTTTTTTTCGCATAACAATGAAAATTTTGCCCTCATATGATGCGCACAACTGCCGAGTAGTCTTTTTCGTAGGTTAGTAGGTAGGTTTTACCCTAAAATGTTTGTTTGAGGATCATTCACTGTCCATGAACATAGTGTAGAGTTTTCCAAGCACGAAATTCGCATTCTTGTGGAGAAAACCTTAGCTTGTGATTTCTCACCCATAAACTCAAAAACGGCGTGAACATAGTCGTTTTCTCGCGGGGTATAAATGTGGTAGTTTTTTGCTTTTTGTCGTCACATAGTAGTAAGAGTTCCCTAATACAACTTGATTACTTTGTCTTTTCGGTTCTTAGATTGGAAGTAGTTTGGATCCGGGATAGGACTGAGGGTGATTTTCGCTGTGGTACTCAGTGAGAGTGTAACTGAGTACTTTGTAGTAAACCGTACTCGCTACTACCCCGGGCGAGTTTTGTTATGGGGAAGGTTTATCCCTTTGTTGTTGAATGTGACTCATTGTTTCGTTATGACGTCTTCCACAACGGCCCTGAGATATTTCCATAATTATGGTCCAATTTTTTCTGAAAAACATTAGTGGAAATGGAAATCATACTCATTGGTGCAGCTGGTTGTTGTGAGTTCTGTAGTAACTACCAATCTAGTTGGCAGTACTACTAACCATGGTGCTGTCAGTAAACCTGACCTAGACGATAGTGTTTGTGATTGATGTACCTGCTGAACTTTCCAATATCACTAACTATACACCATTTCCGATTCAGGTGGCGGTCGCTTGTCTGATGATGTCTACCGGAAGATTCACGCAGTTGACCAGGGGACAAGTACGTTAACGCAAGCTGGAGTGCAGGGCCTTAGCGCTAGGATACTTGACAAGTAAGCATGAAGGATTAATAACTCTTCGTTAGTAGTACTTCTTTCTAGTCTGACCATTTTATAATCAGAAATTTGTCATCTGACTTTCTAACTTATCTGAAGTCCGTCAAATTTCACTGAAGTTTGCCCTATCATCTACTTGGTGATTAAATGTAGTATCGCTGATGTTTACATCTTCAGGTCGGACATTCGGTACCCGAACTTACCTGATGTCTTTACACAGCAGCTGATTGAAATCATTAAGAAACCTGGTCAGTCGTTAGGTCTCTATCTGAGGGAAGGAAATGGTATCGATAGAAGCCATGGCGTATTTGCTAGCCGATTTGGGGAGAACTCTGAGTTGGAGAAGTGAGCTACTTTGCGTTATTTTATCACACTATGCATTTTTCATATTTAAGTGACTTTTGTGATTTCTTTTATTATTTTTTAAGTTATTTACTATGACATCACTTTTTTGTTTTTCCTGTTGTCTTCATAATTTCCTTAAGATATTCCGTGCGTTTCCACTGGTTATAATTTCTTGTTGAAACGAATTTATTAGCTCTTAGTTTTATTAATTTTGATGGGGAAATAAAATTTAAAACAGTTTCCACTGTTTCTTTACGTCTAAAATACTGCAGAAAGGGCACCATAGATCTCCTTACTGTGCTTTTTACGTTCCTTTTCCGATCTTCCTTGTCCGCACACTTTCTAATTCGTTCGTTCTGGCTTGCCCTTTTTTTGCAAGATTTAGCCCCGTTGTTTTTTCTGCTATCGACTGGAGCTGCCAGATTCAAAGCTGATCGCTTCGCATTCTGCTTCTCCTTTAACCCTTTTTCCACCGGTTTCCTTTCAGATATGGGGATGTTATCAGACCTGGTGATGAGATTCTTTCTATCAACAACGTCGAGGTGTCATCGATGTCTATCGATGACGTTGTGCTAATACTGAGCATCCCGCGTCGACTTCTGTTGCGGATACGGTACTATTCTTCTTAGCATTTTCTTTGTTGTTATATTCTTTTGAGCTCAAGTACTTGTAAATGGTACTAGTGTCAATACAATGTGTTTTAAGATACATAAAAAACCACCGCAATCAGCAGACGACTGCGCAGTCATCAGAGCGACCTGTCGTTGTGTTCCACAAGGTTTTTCATTGTCTTTTCTTTTACCAATATGCATTTTTTCAGTTCGAGTAACACGAATTTTAACTCCACGTTCTTTTTTTCTTTCCGTACCTTTCGTTCTAGTACCGCGTGAACCTTCTTAGCCACTAATAACTATTTTTCTGCTGTTTTTTTTTCCTTCCTCAGAATCCCAAGATAACTGTGGTAAAAAAAAATTCCCGAACCCTTATCACAGATTTGCCGACCCTTGTACACTATAAAGATATTCGCTTCTTTGAGACAAGGTTGTGGTCAAGGTGGTGGTCGCTCTTGACATTAGTATGCTCTCACTGGGCTCCTCCCGTTCCAAATTGCAGTTCTGAAACCAGTAACACTTTTGCAACCTTCCTACTTCGAAGGCCTTTCACCAGCTCTAGGAACCTGAAGCATACTTCGTTCCTTTCTGTCTATGGAGTTTGCCTTTCGTAGGGAGGTTTTTCTCAAACATGATGGCTCTTCAATGCATCATCCCCTAATCCATATTTTGCACTTTTAAGTTTTAAACATTGAGTGTCTTCAGTTTTTTGCTTATAATACATTCGAACGCAGTGAATTTAGTCTTTCCAAAGCTTTTTTACTACAGAATTTGTAAAAGTCATGCTTCATAACGATGCTGAGTTATTTGCAAAACTATGGACTGCAGGTGTCTGTGGTGGACACCGAACACGTCATTACCTTCTCCGGGAGCTAAGCCATGCTTCATTTGAGCGTGCGTTTGTTTGTATTTCAGTTTGAGGAGCGATCCGAGGAACCAGCAAGTGGTTCGATTCTCACACAGCCGACTCCCACCGCACACACTTGGCTCGGAAAAAAGGCCCGACGACAACAGCAGGTAATTAATTGATTAGTATAACATGAAACGCATGTTTTTTTCTTCGTCTTTAATAGGATCGTTTCATTTCGTATCAGAATTGCTTGCTACTGACTTAATTCATTGTTCTTGGCGTATTTCAGCATTCAATACCTTCTGTTATGCGGTTTCTTTTTTTTTTTGATGACTTTCCTACTTTGTCTATTTTGTTCCTACTTATTATTTGGAGTTTTTCTTCTTCGTTTTGTTCTCTGAAGAAAGCACTTCTTTGTGTCTCGTTTGTGAACTGCCCTTGTCATCGTAATTGAACGCACTTGATCATTTTCTTTAACCATCATAGCACTGCTGTCGACCATTGTCAGAAGATATTCGCATTCCCTATCTTTTATTCATATATGACTTATCAGAAGCTTCTATAGCGAGTGATCTACCTAATGAACAACTTTTTTCGTTCTTTCCTTCTTTTCTCTTCGTTTTTCCTTCTTTAAAATTCTTGAACTCATTTAACTTCATCCATTCAACAAATTCAAGTTCAAAAAGAAAGAATTCATTGAATGACATTCTTTCCAAGAAGGATATCTTAGTCGTTGATAAGCGAGCACTCGTTCACGCGTAGACGAAAGTGTATTAGTTGCGTTTGTGGACAGTTTTATTCCATTCTTTTGAAGGTTGCCTATCTTCTAATTTGACGGTCCTTTTCTTTAAAAATGAGAAGAAGTTATTCTTTTTCGATATTCCTAGTGCTGGCTTTCTATTTAGGAAAGGACCATGCATCGTTTATCTTAAGGTACGGTAATAGTGTGTTTTGTTTCTATTATGAGGTTTCTGAAGTAGAAATCTTTTGCAGATTCTACCTAAGTAATGTTTGGTTTTACTCAGACCGGTTTGGTACAATATTCTTGGCGCAAATCCTTTTGTAAATATAACCTTTGAGAGCTTACTAGCTTCACGTGTGATATCAGTGAACTGAACTGATAAGAACGAATGGTCTTGTCTCCATGGGTAAATCCATAAATGACGGAACAGTATAGTGCTCTTTTGCAAATGGGATCTAATTCCTCTTTTTTCGGACAGGGAGACTTCTATAGTTGTTTTTATGTCAGTACAATTTGTTGTCGCTTATTTGAACTCAGTCATTCGTTTCCATCTTTCTTTTCCGCAACGGGATTGTGTTTTCGAGTTATGTTGTTGCTGAGCAAGTGCAACAAAAGTTTGAAATCCCTTTTTCCATAGTTTTTGTGAATGTGTTTTTTCGAATAGTGTTGAAGATGTTTTACAAAGGACTATACATTCTAACACATCCCTTGTGTCCATAGTCTTTGTTTCTTTTACTTGCTCAAGAATGCTACGTGAACGTTATCCATGTTATTCGCTTGCGAGCTATGTTTTAAACGATTAGTAGTCTGAGTAAAAGAAAAACTCTCGATCCCTGAGCAATACATCATGCATCCCACTTCACTGAATATCTTGAAAGGTTATTGAATATTATCTGGTCTGCACAATGACACGCAAAGGCCTAGCGATCTGTTGAATCACTGCTGCTATCCTCCCAGATAAGTTTAGTAACGATTTGCCGATCCCAGTGGGATGGAAAGCTTGGTGAGCCTGGGGCTTGGATCAAACTCATGTGCACTGCAGAGGGCCTCTAACAACTGCGCTACACGCGCCTGTATAGTCTGAATAAGCCATAAGTATTGCGCATTTCCGTAAAGATTAGATTTTTCATCCCATCCTCCATCTATGTGTTACGAATGTAGCGTCCTCGAAAAGACTTCAGACTTAAAATTTTATTCGCCCATGACAATGCCTTTCGACAGTACGGTTTGCAATGCGTATATTACTCGTATATTATTCTGTTCCTTACTATACTTTATCCTTCCTTATATCTGTAGGAAAATCATCTACAGTGATGTAGCTGGTAGCTGCATAGTCAAATATGGTTTTACAATATCGTACCCGTCATTCTGCTAGTTTATCACTTTCTGGACTGCCCTTGAGTATTACTTCGGATGGTGGCAAACGTCTTAGACATTTATTGCCATGTCCTTCTTCGCTTTTCCCATAATTAACTTCAGTGACTAGAAATATTTGGGAGCGACTGCCTAAGTGTTATTTGTTTGCAACATAGTTTTTGGGTGCATAAAGGTCCTTTGATTCCTTGTGATTCCTTCCTTCCTCCTTATGATTCATGAAGAGAGTTTCTTCCATTATCCAACTACTACCACGTCTGATTGTGAAGTATGGGGCGGGGATAGTACAGTGGTTACTGATGTCGTCAACTAGGAATCAAAGCCGCTAGTTCTCTCCCGGCTTCAACGCTCTCCTACATTCCACGCAGGAACGCCTTAGCTCGGTTGTTTCCAAGATTGCAGGAACAGTCGGCTCTACCACCACCAATCTACATGATGATAAAGACAAAGCAGCAGCCGAAGCAACAGGCGAAATTTTGGAAGTCCATTCTGGAGGATTAATGGCAGAAAAGGAATCGAATGCAAGTGCTCGGATCCGCACAGTACATGTGATGACGACGGGTCATGTAAATAAATTTTTAAAATTCTGGAATATGCTTCGGATGTAAACAGCACTCTAGTCACAGATTTTCTGCTCAGAGGCGTGTCAGGTTTCGCGCAGTTCAGCAGGAGTGGTCTTCTATTGTTTTGTTTGCTTTAGGATTTCTTGTCAGACAAAACGCTAGTTGTATTAACCTCTTCAAATGGACATCTGAATCTGTGGTGGTTGCAATTATTCTATTGAATGAAGCTCACATAATGCCCAACACATATCTGGGACGGATACTGATGTGATTAGTACTTCGAACAATTTGGGGATTTCGGAGCAAAGTTAATTATTATTGATTTTTCCGCTAGAAATTAGTGCACTATATTTTGCTACGTGTGCACCATAGTATTCATTCTACAGTTATTGTACTATGTTGTACTTCCTTTTGCGAACAGTCTCATTCCAGTTTTATTAAATTTTTTAGTTATGATATTGTCATTGTCGGTTTCTTTATGAATCATACACTATGCATGTGTGGAAGGGCGCATGTGGTGCAGTGGTCGGAGGCGCCCTGCAACACATAGATCGATTTCTGCGCCTCTGGCCCACCAAGCCCTCCATACCTCCGGGGTCGGCAAATTGGTACCAGAATTGTCTGGGAGGATATCAGCACTGGCTCGATACATCGCTAGGCCACCGCGAGTCACTGCAAAGGCCAGAAATGCATTCAATCATCTCCAAACGATGTTTAAAGTAGTCAAATGTATGACGCATCCCTCAAAGGCTGATCAGCGCCGAGAGCTTTATCCATTATTTATCCTTTACGTTATTGTCATAGTTTTTTACACTAGTTTTGTTCTATGTCGCGGTTTCTAACAGAGTTACTGATGTTTTCTTAGGAGGCATTGGATTCGAACAACTACGAAACTTTTAAATAACTGCGGAACTATCTCTTTTTACATGTTTTCTTCTGTTGCGTAAGTAGGACATATGCTATTCAGGATTTAGATTTCCGTCAGATAAGAATTTTTGAATGATGAACATCATAAACTATTCTTTTCGTCACTTTCCAGCTTCTTTTCCTCTACTGATCGTTCCAGAGACAGACTCTAGTTTTATATGAAGATGAGAAAAGTGTTCAGAAAAGGTGCTTAGGTATAAAGAATAGTACAAAAATAAAAACGACGAGGTGGTGTTTTAGAGAAATTTGGAGTTTTTTGAAGTGTTTAGGAACCGGGTGCTGTTTTTCCTTATAAAATGACTATGATATTGACCATGTAAAAAATTTGAAATTGATACCGTACTAGAGACTGCAACTATGCTGTTTTTTTTCCAGAGCCTAGTGCTCGCTCTTGCCTAGATCGCCGATTCTTCCCCTTTAGGCGTTTTCCCGTGCGTCACTCTCTTTACTAATCGTCACGTAGTATTATCGAGTGTCGCAGTAAACGTTCCACGTCACCCAAGTCTAATTGACCTGCCGTCGCTGACTGGCTTGAGCCGTTTGTTGCATTTATTCTCTGCGT